CTGTATTAATACTGTGTTACTGAATGCTGCCACCTGCTGGACATTTAAAATCACTACAGACTGACACTGATCTGATGACCTATGATGTGATTTAATCCATTGTTTTCTATAATGGATTATTTCATATCTTTGTTTAAATTGAAAATATGTTTGATATTTTAGAAGCAATCCATAAATGTGAAGTTTAAGGGGACATGTGAATAAGGATGTTTTAGAACTAGGATTAATTTATTTAGAATAATAACTAGAACAGCAAACGGAGTCAGTTTGAATTCAGATAAGCGCCGCACCGTCGCGGGTTTAGCTGTTAGAGCGCGACACATGCGGCGGCGCATCGTTGCTGCTGGACGCATCATTGTCAGCTGACGGCTTTCCTAGTCTCCCTGACGCAGGCATTTTTTATTTATGCTGAATATTGCAGTGTGGTCTGCGCTATACGCTGTGGGTCTAGATACCGGTGAGGCGGTGAGGAAGGACAACGGAGTGACATGAGGGCCAAAAAGAGCGCAGATCCAGTTGGAGAAAGGGTCCCAGCGTTCTCACACCTCGCTCTTCTAGCGGGTCAAACTTCACGACTTGTTTTCTGCAATTTCAGTCATAAAAACAAAACAAGCCGGCCTCCTGTCTGCGGCGCTGTCTGCGGTCAGCTACAATCTGGGAAAGGAGCAGAGGAGCGTCTGTGGAGGGGGCGGGACGTCTTTTTGTTCACTGCGACACCTACGCAGACGACCTAGTTTCAAAGTATAAATCAGCCTTTAGTCCTCAATGCGTTCGACCTGGGTTTGAATCCGACCTTTGGTCCTTTGCCGCGTGTCTCTCCCCGTCTCTCATATCACCTTTCCTGTCAGCCTACTGTCCATAAAATGAGCCACTAGTGCTGAAAAAACTAAAAAAAAAGGTTCAGCACACTGTTGTCCTGGTCAAACCATTTTAGGTTGGGGTGGGGGGAGTTCCAATGGCCCCTTACTTAAAAAACATTACATATACATAATGCACTAAAAAAAAAAAAAAACATATACATACATACATACATATATATATATATGTATGTTTTTTTTTTTTTTTTTTTTTAGTTACTGTAATATTAAATATTTTTATAACAAATATATTCTGAAGAACTACTTCTTTAATGGTCAGAGTGTGACCATGGGTCCCTGTCGGTGGGAGTGACCAACAGGAACCCTTTGAATGAAGCAGGAATGTTTTTAGCTCCAGGCGTCCCTCAGGGTTGGTTTAGTCAGAACGGAGGCGGCTTCTGTTCCTCATGGCGCTCCTCTCCCTCTCTACCTTGCAGCGATGACAGCATGGGTTACCAGTACCCGTTCACCCTCCGGGTCGTGGGGAAGGATGGCAATTCGTGTGCCTGGTGTCCCTGGTACAGGTAAGGCTGGACCTCTGCCTCGGGCTCAGCATCCCTCAGGGTCCGTCACTCCTCTGTCTGTCTGTCTTCCAGGTTCTGTAGAGGCTGCACTGTTGAGTGTACAGAGGACAGAGCTTCTGTAGGGAACGCCTACATCGCTGTGGACTGGGACCCCACCGCCCTGCACCTCCGCTACCAGACCTCCCAGGAGAGGGTAAGACGCTGGCTGTTACTGGGAGCGCTACAGAGGGCACTGGTTTCCTGCAGCTTTCCTTTAATGATAATATCTAAACCACTAGCTATATCTGGCTGTACCTCCTGGCTCCTCACCGCATAGCTGGTTCTGTTAGCCTTAGCATCAAAGCTGGTGGGGGCTCTTCATCATCATCATCATCATCCCTCTCCTTTGCAGGAAGGTTTTAATTTAAAGTGACCCTGCAGCATCTGAATTATTATATTTATTTTATTTGCAGCTTTTATTGTCATTACAGAATAGCAAGAAGTTCACTCTGCATTTAACTCCTCCCCTTGAGGAGCAGTGGGCTGCCATTGTGCGGCACCCGGGCAGCAGTGGGGGGTTAATGGTCTTGCTCAGAGGCCCAGAGTGGCGGTCTGTGGGAGTGGGGCTCGAACTCAGAACCTCAGGATTCCAAGCTCTGTGTCCTAACCACTAGCCGCCAGTTTGTTTGTAGTTTTTTTTTTTCATTTTTTTTTTAGATGAGATTTTCTGATTAGTTTTAGGTCCAGAGTTTGTTTTTCTGGGTCATTCAGAGGCGGCCTGCAGAATCCAGCACTGATGGATCCAGGTCTGTAATTAAAGCCAGCCCAGACCATCATACCACCACCACCATGTCTCTGCTCCTCTTAAGGCTTTAGGAATCCAAATGACTTATACGTCCAGAAGTGTGTGAGAACAGGACTGGTTAATAATAAAACCTGCAACATCTAATGTCCCTTTAGGATTAATGAGGTAATTCTGAATTGAATTGATCTTGATGCTGGTGAAGATTCTCAGTCATCCAGGTCAGAGTCATTCTAAAAAAGTTAAATTCAATCCCCTGGACTTTGTTTCCAAGTTTAAAGCCGTTTCTCTTCCATCCTTCTCAACCTCCATCACCATGCAGGGGACCAAAACATGGTCTGGTCAGCCAAGCCAACAATGACCATAATGACTCCCTTTCAGAGGCATAGGCCAGTATCAGGTTTGGCAGACCAACAAAGATCTTAACGACCCCCATTCCAAAGGGGGGGACCCGTTCATCCGTTTCTATTTGCATGTTTTCTAAACTAAAACCAGGCTTTGTTGGGCTGCTGGATAAAACCTGGAACTAAACGCTATTTCTGACA